GCTGCCTTGCAGTTGGGTTCTTGTCAGAGCCAAGGGCTTGAGTTTAGTGCCCATCCATCAAACTCTAATGTATACACAAACTATAAAGAATTCCATAGTGCATCGGTCGTCGCGCAGGCTAATCCGGACTTCGTTCTGCTTATAGCAGTTTTCATGTTGATAGAATAATAGCTATATTTTCATTGTGTTTGACACCTGCTAAGTATGCACTTTTCGGGTTCCTATCTGAACTCGAAACACGAATATCCAAGGGATTAGCCAATATCCCCGTTCGGTGGCTCACTCGACATACCGTGTCCGCGTTTCAATTTAATGCATGTCAATAGTGAGAAGTGACATGAAGTTTCGTCTACTGAAACATATCTTGTGGATTTGGTTTACTGGACCTTGTGNNNTGGATAACTGACTGAAGAACGATATAATAATGCGTTGGACAGATATCTTACCCTTCGAACAGTTGGATCATACAGATACATATATACACCCGTATCCCTAGAGAAGATTTTACCGAAGGAATTATTGAACCTCTTTCATCATCCCTTCCTTTTATATCTCTTCATTCATTCGGAAATTCTTTCATCCGTTTCAGATGTTGCGCGAGCGGGTTTCCAACCGTCAGTGGACAAAAGACGATGATGTGGCTCATTGTTCCAACTGCCATGCGGAGTTCTCACTGACAAATCGAAAGGTGAATCGAAATCGATTGATATTGCACCTAGTGGAACGGAAATTTACAAGCAGTACTAAGGTTTTGTACACCGTTTATGAGCTTGTATTTTCACGTTGCCCATTTGACCGTTTTGATGGCCATGTAAGCATTTGAAATTAATGTTTGGTGACCTTGAACGAGACCCTGTTTTGACCAGTTGGTTTCGCTTGTGTTCTTCTTGTCCTTGAACAAAGAACCATGAAACCACAACTGTGGACGAAATCAGTATGACTGATGATTGCAGCACACTAGTCCTTAGCACGAACATTTCTCTTTGGTTGCATTACTTCTTGGACTGTCAGTAGGCTGCTGCACGCTTGTCTGTGGCAAGATTGTCTAGGCGTCCTTTGGTCAGTTTGAAATGAACTCTAAACAAAACCAGTTACGATAGCCGCACGAATGCGAGCCTTCGTGTCATTCATACTTTTTGTCGCTTCCTCTATCCATGTATTCAGCTTAAACCCAATCTCTGTTTTTCTTATTCAACAGCACCATTGCCGTCAGTGTGGAGGTATATTCTGTCACACGTGTTCGTCTTATCGGGCATCGATTGCGGCCAGCAAAGACCCGGTACGTGTCTGCGGCCCGTGTCATGCGGAGCTGACAGGAAAAAGTGCTCACTGACCTCAACGCTTAATTTATAGTCACCTCTCGCTCATGCGGGTGCGCGCACCTTTCCCATTTTCTCCATCCACTCGCTAATGATGTGTAACCGTCTACGGGACTTAGCGGTTTTCAACTCGGTTGCTTTTACGAAACAGTCATTCATACGGAACAGAGTCAAGGCATTCGATCCTCATTCCTGAATATGAATCGCGTGTTATCACGATTGAATCGCTTTGAAGAAACATCGCCTTCTTATTGTTAAGATACATCTGCAGCCATATGCTCTCTTCGAAATCAAGGAACTAATTTAAGAAGCATATGATTAACCTTCACCTAATCTAACTTTCCTTTGAATTACTATTCAGTTCCATTGTTTTTGTGGTCTTTTCTGTTTTTATTTGTTATTTTCCAATCATTCGACCAATATCGCCTAGTCGATCAAACCGTCGGTCCCTTGTGAAAATTTTGGACACATGTACACAGCTATTACCCGGGGAAGGTGTGTTGTTTTCTTTTTTTCCCCTCTCATGCATTTCCGCTAACTAGTTTTATGCGCAAGAGTGCAAACGAAATTGAACTAGCGCGTGTTCTCCCTCTCTCAGTGGAAGCCTTTTTCTTAAGTGGCCTTCGATACCAAAACAATCAGTTACGCCTTGGTGACTACTGTATCCAAAACGATGGTCAGTTGGTTTTGATGAAGTTTCCATGCCAGTACACAAAAGTCAACCAACAACAGGTATAATTTAATTTATACAAACCATCAAGGGTATCTTTTGTGTTTGGATACCACTCCGATCAAGCTTATTTACGGGTCCTAGCTGTTACACTGCACACTTGGAGGCTATACAAGAGGTTGAAGCAGAATGAAACGATTGGAAACTCAGATAAGCACTAGGAAATTTATTACATGATTTCGGGCGAACATTTTATTTCACTGATTCGTAATCGTACCGTTATAATTTATACGTGACGATAAAGCCTGAGTGCTCAGGAAGTAACACCGAATTATGGGGATTGGACCATTGTTTTTATTCACGTCACGTTACCAGTTCTATGCTCCTGGGCTTTTCAGTTATCCCACTGGTTGTATAACCCCGTTTCAAAGGATCGGTGTTATTGTGTGGATGTATGCTTGTATCGGGAAGGAAAAAATACGTTTGTTAACTCATGGAAGACAAGAATGTTGGATTAAACGCTTATGGATAGATAGTTTTGGAGTCGAGTGTCCAACACTGATGGCTTCGGCTGTGGTTAACGTGCACATTCTAGCATAATTAGACTGGTTCGTTGGAACCTATTAAATAATCCTGAATGCTTCACTTGGATCAGCAGAATGACCGGTATACACCAAGGAAGCGAGACTTGCGATAGAGATTGATCCAGAACCACCTTTGCTCATCTAGCGCGATGTTCTTTTATGCCGTACAACTGACGTACAGTGATGGCATCACAAACGCATCTGGATGATTAAACAACTGCCGAAGTGGTTAACATCAATAGTTTATGGACCCCTAATTATAAACATGTTTGAATGTGCTTTACCGTACTCATATTCCAAATTGAAGCTGTTCACAGTCTTAATGCATGCATTCGATGCAGCTCTGCACATCAGTTGTTTCCATTCCTGACATCTCTCATCAACCATCATGTTACTTGTGAGTAGTCTAAAATAAAATACGATACACAAACCATTTTCATTGCAACTGAGGCGCATTTCGTTCTGCTCTTCGTCGTATGTCACTCAAGTTATTCCAATTGTGTGCAAGTCGTTAAGAATATCCATTTCCGGAATCGTTTTCATCCAACACAGTCAACCTTTATCATCGAATTCTATTATAGAAGAAACAGTCATTTATTTATTTAATTTCAACAATCGTAAATTCATTCCAACCCTTGACGACAAATACGCCTGACACCTGTCGCTGGATAGTTGTATTCATGGTAGATCTTTCTTCGTGAATGATGAACTGGTACAATTCACAAGAACTGTAAAAAAAGTAATCATTATGTCGATGGAAGAGTTCATTTCAAAATTCCCGGAAAACACAGAACCGTAAAGGGTTATGCACGCCGGTCGGAGAATTGTGAGTCAAGCTTTGACAGATGATTATGCGAACTTGGCTATCCAGTGGTTCAGATTCACTTGAAGGGTTAACATATATCAAGCGTTCGTTTGGTTTGCTGAGCAGTGATTCCTGAGAATCACTTCTTGACATATTGTCATTTGGTTCATCCGGTTCAGTAACATCCTCATTGTCTGACGATTGTTCAGTTTGATTGTTTTCCTCAATTACTTCTGGTACTGGCACCGGAAAAATTCGAGCTGCATGAATTGTCAGGGATAGTACCGAGAAGGTATGTAATTTAAGGTACCAAGGTTTTGAAAGAACTTCGAAAATAACGTAACAAATATACCTAAATCAATATTATTGCCCGGTAAAGTTGGCAAAGCGTGTTTTGTCGTAATTCGAATGAGAGAAATATAATTCATGGATCAGCCTCCTATCTATGTTCGAACAAAACGTGGATTACGCAACTTTGTTATAGTAGCCCAACCATAGAATACGATCAATGGAAATTTGAATTGCAGTTAATGGAATCTACGGTCAGTACACGACTAACACTGAAACTAATACGAGCGGTAGGACGAAATAGTTAAATGTAACATTGCAGCCAACAATAAAAGCCGATCCTGTCAGTCTAGTCTAAACGCATGGTTTGGGTAGAAAAAACGGCTGTGGGCGGCAGTAGTAATATTGAGCGATAAGTGGCTCCTCTGATCTACTAAAAATATTGCAGCTACCCTTGTGGTCAGTTCATAGGAAACATGAAATAACCAAAAACTGTTTTATTTTTGTTTTATAAATTTTCGGCTCCAATGGTTCAGATGTACGTCGATGTCACCAAGTATCTATAGCATCTCTCGACTGAACGGAAGTCGCGTCGTATGCACTGACTGATGCAAGCGATCTTACGTTACAAGATGTCGCTAACCGTCGTCATAAATCACATGCGTGCATCGATTTTTTGCATATTGATATCTGCTTGCGGAGCTACTTTTGACAAGTGTGAGTGGTTCATCGTCTAAATGACTGTTGATAAATGAGACCCCAAAGAATGGAAAAATTAGTGCTGTCATCGCTGCTAAGTCTGAAACAGATTGCCGAAAACAATCGGCCAAATGTGCACGAGAAACTTGTTTTCAAAATAACTTCCACCAGAGTTGCCGTGATTGGCTCATATAAATCTTGTTTGAACGAATGACCATTTCTTTCGAATAGATAAGAGACGCTCATTCGTGGTACGGGATTAACCTTCGTATCTTTCCCCTTTGTTTATTTTCTCAGTGATAAGGCCTGTTAGAACCGGTGGGGAACATTGTCAAATGTACTCACCCAAGGGGCGCAGAAGATTATCAAAAAACAGCGTTAGTCCCATCAAACGTTTGACCGTAAAACCCCGGTTCCTGACTGGCATATCAATTGTACGAACAGTGGTACATTGAGCCGAATCCGATAATCGCCATAAACGGATCTTCGACTGCAGAGTCCCGGCGACAACAAAACGGTCCTTGGTGGTTGTATGAAATAGGTTAGATGAGAGAAGGTTCAACAGTTTCAGCGTGGAGACTAACGGTTTGGTAGGACGTCACCAAGAATAAATTCACCAAAAGAAATGCGAATGGAAATTTTCTTTGCATTCTCTGTTTGCTCATCACCGTTATCATTTGAGGTGCAAAACGAATATCAGATATGGTCATGTTGTTGGTTAAACCATCCGATAGGACTTAAAAGCCACTCAGATCTTCAGCATGCAATCAAATATCATGTCCATAAGATTAATCGGACTGCTTATGGTCTGCGAGCGCACTAGCAACACGATGATACAGCTGTCTCTAAATCCAAAAACGACAAACATATGGAGAAGAGATTCTTCTTATGTATATCCTTCAAGGAAGCACTCGGTTAGTCGAGCAAAAAGTCATGTCCAAACAAAAGACAGTAGACTTGGTTGGTCTACGGATCGCCTTTGGTGAGTGGTTGCGATATGGCAGATTTCGTTTCAGCCAGTTCTAAGACCAGTCTAACTCTCAAGTGTATAGCGTTCAAAGGTGACAGGTACATAACGAAATATAATTCTAACAGAAAGCTATAAGACGAAGAAGATTAGATAATTCCTTCGACGGCTTTCCGAAAATAGCCTACGTGCTGTTTTTATTCGGCGAGTTAATAACTCCACCAAATCTTCTTGAGCTAAGTTGCTTACACATGCGAAATCAAGCAATTTTGTCAGTTGCAACACTATGATCTAGCGTTCACTGAGTCTAGTCTACGATCGATATTTTATGAAGTTCAGAACAAAATAAACCCCATTGGCACTTTTGTTTACGATACTGAGTCGGGCACAACATCACGATTGATGTTACACGACAACCCCTGTCTTCAATTGCACCTCATGGAGCTATGGTGAGGTAGGGAACCTCAAAATATCATTGCAATTTTTCTATTATGATATTTTGTCGGTTGGTTGCGTCTAGGTTTATAATATTCAAAGCCAAAGCCGATTTTCGATGGTTAAACACTAAGTATGATGTGCACGATTCAACCGGTTCCGTGCTTCTGACAAATGTCCGTATACCAACCACTGTAAAAGTCATTGAAAATCGAACTTATTTTAATTTACCGGTGTTAGATAAATACAATTTACAAAATACCATTGTACAATCATCACAGTGCTTACTTGAAGATGGGTCGTTTCGGAATAACTCTCTGAGATCAGGATACTGTGATGCGGTCATATCAGGAGTTCCAGAGTAACGATGACTTTAGCATATAACTGCCGAATATGTATATCCGAAAAGTCGCAAGAACAGCAAAGCTATGTGTGTATCATTCATGTGATACCTAAAATAACAGTTGCCACTGTCACGATTTGTGTTTCTTATTTACCCTAAAGTACGATGTCATGAGTGATGTGACGTCCTCAAAATTTTCATCAGATCCAACTACTACAATTTCCGCGGGAACATTCATCATGAATATATCAACTATAATACCCTGGGGCAGGGATTTCACCAGGAGCAGTACAGATCATCATCATCAGTTAAACCGCGGTTCAAACCGGGAAATAACTCACACGAATCTGAAGATCAACGACAGGACCACCGGGTCCTTCGAGTTGTTCAAACAGAGTAGTTCGTCCACCTGCGTGAATCAAATAAGTTCGAATCCGCTGATCCAAGCCGCCCACAGCCAGTAGCATATGATGCATTGTGTGCAACTCTTTGCACATGCCCCAAGCCAATGCTGTCACTGGGCTGTTTGTCATGGTATCGATTGTGGCTAGTTGTTCGTGCGGTCTCAATGGGCCGCATGAGTAAACTCTGATGTTCTGGGCGAATGGAAGACGAAATTTGAGTGATTGTAAAGCTTGTCAAACGTTCTGCGTATCAGTCGATGACTACTAGGTTTTTCAAAAAAGGACAATTACAGTAATAAAACCATTCGGTTCAGATAAAGTTTGTGCAATTTATTGTAAATTTAGAGACAATTCAAGCTGAGTTAATATCTGAAAACTCCGTGATAAGTTTGCAAAGCATTTATTCAAATTATTGAGAATACCGTAGATACTGAATTATTCAATCTCTGGTTGAGAAACGAAATTCGGATTTCAGTGTGTAGTACAGAGCCTGAAGCGGTTAAAATGGTGTGAGCATAAAATTATTTGCTCACATCCGGGGCTTCATGAGTTCGCCTTACTCAGCATCTGAATGGATATCCGTTAACTGTTTCCAGTGAAAGGGAGTTGGTTGGTCAGATCATACATTCA